TCCACTCCCGCACCCGCACCCACAAGCGCACTCGCAGCCGCACGGCCACCGGCTTCTCCGCAGCACCTCCAACTCCGCCTAAAGGGGGCAGCACCCGGGCCAGACAAGGTAAGGTCCCGCCAGCTCGGACTCCGGAGGACTGGGGCGCCGGGCTGCTGCGGGGAGTAGGAAGCCGGCTCACGGGTTCGACCCCCGGGTGGAGAATCGGGAAATCCTTCCAAGATTCCGGGGACGTGGGGAAAAGAGAACCCAACTGGAGCCAGGAGAGTCCGGGCAGAGAGGGGAGGACGGGGAGGCTCGGACCGGGCCGGGGGACCGCCCTGCCCGGGGGTACGCGCCCCTTGCGCCGCTCGACTGTGTGGGCGCTCGAGGGGGCGACCCGGGTATCTTTTAGGGAGCGCTTTGTCTGCAGGACTGGCCGGGAGTCTTGGAGGGTTCTTAGGCACCTACTTCATTCGGGTGTTGTTTCTTTCCAGGTTTTGAGGACTTGAAGTGGGACGAGCACAGTTCTTTTGTCTTCACTAGGATCAAAACCAAAACGGTCTTCCCGCCCGCACCGGATCAAGCAGTTTGGACATCACCCTACTGAAAACTTGCGGCTCTTCGTAGTTTTTGCTTACTCTTCATCACGATGCAGGAGATGATTTCGAGTCAAGAAGACTTTATTTATGAACCTTGGAAGGGATCTTCTAGGATGGTGAACTTTCTAGGAGCGATGATGTACTGTAATTTTATTTTAACGTATTTTGATTTATGGTTATTTATTAGTTTTTAAAAAATGCTTGTTCTAAGACATTTCTGAATGTAGGCCATTTTCCAAAAAGGAAACTTTATTTTCAAGAACCTATTCCCTAGTAAGTCCTAATCTTGGAAAAGAAAAAAGGGCGGTGGAGGGGAAAACATTAAGAATCCATTCATTATTCCCAGGGCATTTTCAGAAGGTCTGACACTTTCATTGTTATGCCAGGTGGTTGAAATTAAACTTTGATATTAGGTGGTTTTTTTTGAGATTTTTTTTCCTTAGACATATAGTTTGTATAAAGTAGAAGTTTAAAAAAGCTTAAAGTTCAGAATTGTGTAATTATGAAAATCTAATGCTCAAGATATTGCTTTTCTAAAAGAAAATTAGTAGTAATGGTATCTGATTTCAAAATATTTAAAACATAACCCAACTGATGGCAGGATGATTATATGTTGGTTATGTGGTAGGCCTGGGTCAGCTGTAGGGAAAACCCTGCTTATATCATGTGTGTGTGAAGGAGAAGATGTCTTTTGACTGATTTATGAGCATGAATGTGCTAGATGTTTCATTTCAAGAATGTGAGGGAAAAGAGAATCAATCATTCAGCTTGTGTGAGAGAATCTCAGCCCGTACAGACTAGAATACTCTTCTCCAAGTGCTCTGCACACTTCCACTTGAGCCACATTTTATGATCCTTTTACTTTGTTCTAGAAGCACACTAAAGAATCTCATTGTTTAAAGTACAGTTTGTAAATATTCCAAAGGACTCAGAGGTGTCGCTTTTTGTTTTCATACTGAAAATGCCGTTAATTGGAGAAACCAATTCTTGCTCTATGAGAAAGTCGAGGGTTATATGTTTTGTTGTTAGGTTAGCTAAACTCAGAAACTGTAAAGGAAAGAACTGGGTAAACACTAGATTTTCAGTGAGAAAACAACCCCAGTCTTGTCTTAGTAGCCACTTGTTCAGGAATCTGTGGGGAGAAAAAGAGGATGTGCTTTTAAAGGTAGAACAAACCCTCTTCTGTGTTAAATCAAAAGGATGGTCAAAGTCCACGAGGGCAGATGCTACTTAAGTTTAAATAGAGCCATAGATGATACCAAATCCTCTTGAGACTGAAAATCACTTCCTATCGGCATGGCTTTACTAACTGTCCTCCGTTTTCCATTATCTTTTTCACACAGTCTTGGTCAGTGTTTTTCCAGCGTTTAAATTGGAATGGTCAGTTTTAGACCACTGCTATGTTATGCAGTCAAGAAGTGAAAAGAGAATTGCCTGCTAGAGAGGTCTTTATTCCCTTTCCAGACAGAGAGGAGTTTTAAGGTCAAATTACTTTTTAGTGCAATATGAAAATGATGAAATTTTGAGATTGTAATTTTAATTCGAGATCATAAATTTTAATTTGCAGGGAAAATTAAAACTCAAGCAAATGACAAACACAATTTAAGTGAACTTTTACTTTCAGTAGCTGTTTAGGTTGCAGTTGTGAAAATATGCTGCCAAGATTGAAAAATTATTAAAGCAGAGTGAGCCAGATCGAAAGGTTTCTTAAATCAAGTTTATATCAGCTTCCTTAGAAATATTCCTGTGCTTTCTGAGGAAAACCCCATAGTACTATAATTTTAATACATGTAAATCATAAATTAAACCAATTAAACCACAGCTTTTTCCCAATGAAGGATTTTTCTTTTGAATTCTTATACTGTAAAATCCATAACAAATGTTTTAAAGATTCATATAGGTTTTATAAAAAAGCATTTGTATGTTGGTAGCTTACATATAGGGCTAGGTGATATAGTTGAAAAAAATACATCCGGGCTCTCTTGGCTGCTGGCTTTTTTTCTTTTTTCCCTGTGATGGTCTCTTTAATTTTTTAAATTCATTTTTTATTGAGTTGAAGTCTCACTTTGTCACCCAGGCTGGAGTACAGTGGCATGCTCACGGCCGCCACAGCCTCTACCTGCCGGGTTCAGGCAATCCTAGTAGCCTCAGCCTTCCTATTAGCTGAAACTACAGGCATGCACCACCACGCCCGGCTGATGTTTTTATTTTTGTTTTTTCATTGTAGAGACAAGGTCTCACCATGTTGCCCAGGCTGGTCTCAAACTCAATGGCTCAGGCAACCCTCTCACCTCTGCCTCCCAAAGTGCTGAGATTATAGGCGTGAGCCACTGCACCCAGCCATGATGGCCTCTTAATGGGGTCACCAGAATTATGGTTTCTTGTCTTTCTATAGTCTCTGTTCCTTGGTCTGCTGTGATATTTATGTGACTTGATTCTCTTTATAGCTTTCTGATCTGATCTCTTCGCATTTAACTGTGAAACCTTGGAAATTAGGAAGGAGAGAAGTGGAATGGTTTTTATTATTTTGACACTTTGAAATGATTATGGTTTAATAGTTTTCCTATTGAAAAAAACCATGCGCCACATGACTCAACAAAGCAAAATACAAATGCACATCATCAAATGTCTCAGTTGCTTTATTCTACCTATAAGATAATGATACAAACCACCTAAGGGATTTTGAAGCTTGACAAATCAGCTTCATGGGAAAAGGTCCACATTCTTCTTTCAAGCTAAGATAAAGAAGAATGAAAGAGCAGGTCCAATAGAAAACTCATCCCTTAAATCAACATAAAAGGTAAAAAGTTGGAAACCTAAGAGGAATATTCCATCTGGAAACTGAACTTTGTCCTTGAACTTGTGTTGGTACCAAACCTCATATACGCAGTGAGCTTGGGACTAATGAAGGAAGGACACGATGTGTGACTCCTCAGCACCCGGGAGGTGCTTTCTCTTGCCTTGCTGAGTGCTTTCTTTGCTCGTCCTCAAGTTGTTCTTGAGAACAACTCACTGTGGGACAGGCCGGGCCTCATGATGAAGCTCCTTACACATTACTTTTTGAGTGGCAAGTCATTGAAATCTGTGCATGCTCCACAGCGAGAGTGCTAAGGGCAGAGAGTAAATGTCTCCAAGGGGTCCTTTTGAAATGAACATTGTCCTTGTTGTGCAAGCGGAGCTTCTTGAATGGCGTAGAAATCAAGCGAACTTTAACATTTCACCTCACACATTTTTTCCAATGACAGTGAAAACAAGCAAATCCGAGACATTGCTTGAAGGAGTTTCCCCAAAATGTAAACACCGTAAGGAAGTCGGGTTTAAGTGGAAGGGCTTGCTTTAGCTCTGTTTTGGTCTCAGATACCAAATACTCTATGTCTCTTAAAGAGCTCTAATTTTAAATCTGACACAGTTTGCTGCAAGTGTACGAATTCAGACACATAGCTTGTTTTCGTCCTTAGGGGAAAAGTGTTAATAAGTTCAGCCGTAGGCTCAGAAGAGGGGTCTAAGACTTAAACCTGGAGCAGTTCTACAGAACAGAGCTTTGTGGGATGAACACAGGCCTGGGAGCATTCATTTTCTTCTTTTTTTTGTAAGTGTCAAATTAATTGATTTTTGCTTTACTAATAAAATATCCTCAGCAAACTCAATTTTACATTGGATTCATCAGTGATTCAAAAGAAATACACCTATTTACCTAAAGCAACCTACAATCTATTAATTGTGGAAGGGTATCGGATGGGTTTTCAAGAACTAGTTTCTAAATTGTTGACAGAGTTTTGAAGGGTGGTGTTTTGACCTGCATTGCTGAGGAGCCAGTCCAGACATATACGATTGGGTGAAAAGTGATCTGTGACTCTGTCGGAAGAGCATTTGCCCAGTGGAATACAGGATCCAACCTGGTTTTCTTAAGAAAGGGCATTATCATCCAGTGAAGGAAGCAGAAGGACTCCGGATGGTTAGAAGCAATGCATAAAAGCTGGTGAGACCTATTTCCCTCTGCTCTGCGTTGACCTGCTGCTGATAGGCTGAGCAGAGGGAAGCAGGTTTTAACAACAGGTCATCTTTCCAGATCACTATTTTCAGAAGAAACATAGAACTATTGTCTGTTACATTCTGAGGTCAGCCTTCCACTTAACATTTCAGGATATGCAAACACCAGGTTCTGGAAAGCAAGTGTCACCAAATGCTTTATAAACCATCACGTCTGTGAATTTATTAGTGTGGTCAGAATTTGTGTAAATATGCCTCTTAAATTTTGGAGAGATGTGATTTATTTTTCATATTTTCAAAATGCATTCCATTTCAAATAAAATATCTATTGAGATAACTGACCTGTGGACCTTTTGAAGACTTCGTTCAACAGCGTGTGCACAGTGTGTTCCTATGGAACAAAAATTCTAAAGAGTTTGGCCATTCTGGAAAGAAAAAGATCATTTTTGAGGTTGGAAATGCACTTAAAAAAAATTAACTGGGGGCTGGGCATGGTGGCTCAAGTTTGTAATCCCAGCACTTTGGGAGGCAGAGGCGAGAGGATTGCCTGAGCCCAGGGGTTCGAGACCAGACTGGGCAACATGGCGAGACCTCCTCATCTGTTATAAATAAAAAAATTAGCCAGGCATGGTGGCACGCACCTGTAGTTCCAGCTACTTGGAAGGCTGAGGTGGAAGGATCACCTGAGTCCAGCAGGCCGAGGCTGTGGTGACCATGAGCGTGCCACTGCCCTCTAGCCTGGGCGACCGAGTGAGACTCCAACTTAAAAAAAACAAGAAAGAAAAACTGGGAATTTGGAATATGGAAATTCACTCAGATCTGTTGGTGAAAAAATTGGCTTTCAGAATGCTAATGAATTTGAGTTGAATTTCCCATAGTCCCCCAGAGGACCAGAAACAGTCTCAAGTGAATTAGTTTCAAGACAATTCCCTCTTGAGTCTCAGAGAGAGTCTGGCTCTCTTAGGTCTCTCGGGAGGGTAAAGCTTTGCCTCTAAGAGAATCATCTTCAAATAGGTTTTGTGCTGAAAACAAGAGGGACTTGCTTTTTAAAGAAAAAAATAGCATAAGCTTATTTTTACAATCTCCATCAGAATTCCAAAACTTTTGAATCGCAAAAGACCTTAAGATAGGAAACTTGAGCCAGGAGTGGTGGCTCATGCCTGTAATCCTAGCACTTTGGGAGGCGGAGGTGAGGGGATTGCCTGAGTTCAGGGGTTAGAGACCAGCCTTAGCAACACAGCGAGACTTTGTCTCTACAATAAATTAAAAATGAGCCAGGCATGGTGGCACATGCCTGTTGTTCCAGCTTCTTGGAAGACTGAGGCAAAAGGATTGCCTGAACCCAGCAGGTTGAGGCTACAGTGGCCATAAGCATGCCATAGCACTGTAGCCTGGACATCAGAGTGAGACTCAGAATCAAAAAAAAAAAAGGAAATTTGAAGGCAATTTTTGTATCCCTTTGGATAGTCTTTCATTGACAGCTTTATTAAGAAGAAAAATCTGAGCAGATGAATTACTGACATTGGGGGGACTTCAGGGATACTGTGTGGTATAAGTGTATACAGTAGGTGGTAACGTAGGGTTGGTAAGAGTCAGGATTTGCAAGTTCTGCTGCATGAATTCCAGTCCCAGCTCTACCACTTGTTAGCTGTGTTGATCTTGAATTACTTAAATCTTGGAAACTCAGTTTCCTTCTCTGTAAAATGTAGTTAATAAAGGTACTGACCGTAGGGTTGTTGAGGAGATTTAAGAACTTAGTACACATAAAAATGCGTAGAACAGTGCCCAGTATTGCTACGAAAGGAAGCTGCCTGCATTTTAGAACAGATAAACAGGCTTGAAAATCAATACAGCCATAAGAATACATAACATATGGTATTTTGGACCTATGAATTGTATTTGCTGTAATCAGTGCTTCTTATTTTTATATCATTATTATTTGAACCAAAGTCTCACTCTGTTGCCCAGTCTGGAGTACGGTGGCATGAACTTGGCTCACTGCAGCGGTGGATCCCACAGCCTTGACCTTCTGGGCTTGGGTGATCCTTCTGCCTCAGCCTCCCAAATAACTGAAGCTACAGGCGCACGCCACCACACCTGACTAATTTTTGTATGTTTGTAAAGTCGAGGTCTCACTATGTTGCCCAGACTGGTCGTGAACTCCTGGGCTCAAGTGATTCTTTTGCCTTGACCTCCCAAAGTGCTGGGATTACAGGCTTAGCCATCACACCTGGCCTCAGTGCTTCTTTTTTTAAATGGTAAGAATAGCATGTTGACTGCATCCTGTATTCAACTTTGGAAAAAGAGAAAAATACACGATCGTACTACCATTTTAATAATGATTTTCATGTGCTTATTGCTTTCTAGTCTTGATCCACATGCTCATGTATTCTAAGTTATTTACAACTTAGTCAAAATACTCAGATATGTGGCTGTGGGGCTTTGCCCAG